AATAAATAGCGTTTATTTTACAAAAAAATAAAACGATGGTGATTTGTTAAAAAATATAATACATAATTAAGAATCAAAATTAATTAATTCAAAATTACTATAATTAAATTCATCCGAGTCCAAAATTGCTACCAACATTCCTGCATGCGGCCCAGATATAATCTAATTAACCTTCGAGTCCATAAGAAATTTGCAATTAGTCAGAGGCTCCCGCATGCGGCCTAAATATAATCTAATTAAAAGTACTAAAAATTGCTATAGTTTTGATATTACCAGCGCCCTCGTAGATTGAGGAGCTGAACTATGATGAAAAACACAGAAAATTACGATACAAAGTCGATCCCGCGCTAAAATTTTAGACTCAAAAAAGACCTCATGCGACTTATGCTCTCCTAATACAAATGTTGAAATTTAAGAAAATTTTCACTTTCGGAACCTATACGAGGTCTAATCAACAAATAATCGAACAACCCAAATTTCAAATTTTAAAATTTGATTTGATCAACTATTTCTTGATTAGACCTCGTATAGGTCGCAAAACTGAAAATTTTCTTAAATTTCAACATTTGTATTAGGAGAGCATAAGTCGCATGAGGTCTTTTTTGAATGTAAACTTTTAGCGCGGGATCGACTTTGTATAATAATTTTCTTTGTTTTTCTCAACATAGTTCAGCTCCTCAACGTACGAGGGCGCTAATAATAGAAAAATTAATATAATTTCCTTGTTTCTTATTGAAGTTTCAAGTCTTTTAGGATTTACTATTTTCCACGTCTGAAAACCTTCATATAATATTGATGAAATTAAAGCACATAATTTATTTATTCATTTATTTAAACATCAAAATAATGATAATACAGTAATCATCCATTTATTATTTAGACACAGTTTACATTTATTACAATAAACATTTTTATTTGAAATAACTGCATAATACATAATAATTACATACAAAATATCTCAATAATTAGTTAAAAAAACAATTTAGAAAGATTTTACCTATTAGACTAAGCTACAATTATATTAAGTAATTCAACAGTTTACAAAATATGCATTTACATTTATTACAATAAACATATTTATTTGAGATAACTGAAATAATACATGTTTCTGTTTCTTACAATTATTAATAATTTGCAAACTGTTGAATTGATATTTAAACACTGTACTTGGTACAAAAATGCCCCTTAACTCTCTGTGGCCTCCACATGTCCCCTTATAGCCACCCTATCCGGCCAAATGAATATTTATTGTGAAAGTGTTAATCAACATTTAATTTGGTTTCAATAATTAGTTAAAAAAAACAATTTAGAAAGATTTTACCTATTAGACTAAGCTACAATTATATTAAGTAATTCAACAGTTTACAAAGTAAAAAAGAAAATAGCTGTAAGAGAAAAACACGAAAACAAATGAAATTCCAAAGAAAATACAATATATACAAATACAATTTTAATAAATATTCAATTTGGTTACAATAATTACACCATAAGACCAATTTAGAAGGATTGTACTTATCAGACTAAGCTACAACCGTATAATTGTAATTCAACAGTTTACAAAATATGCATTTACATTTATTACAATAAACATATTTATTTGAAATAACTCCATAATATATACAAAATATCTCAAGAAATAATACATGTTTCGATTTCTTACAATTATTAATAATTTGCAAACTGTTGAATTGATACTTATATACTTTACTTGGCACAAAAATGCACCCTAACTCTCTGTGGCCTCCACATCTCCCCTTATAGTCATCCTATCCGGCCAAATGAATATTAATTATGAAAAAGTTAATCAATATTTAACTTGGTTTCAATAATTACGTCAAAAGAACAATTTAGAAGGATTTGCCTATCAGACTAAGCTACAATTGTATAAGGTAAT